TTTGTTTTTTTTCTGAATACAAACTGTTTCCTTTTTACCTAGATTGAAGATAGCTTTGAGTTGTCGTTTAGAACTGTCGAGGATTACGTCAAGCTGGACATTTTCTTTTTCTACGAGGAGAAGGATTATATGTGGAATGGTGGAACACAAGCAAGAACAGGAAAGAAGTTCAAGTAAGATTAAAGTAATAACATAATTGTCATTAGAGAGATTTAGAATTACGTTTACGGCAAACGGCTAACGTCAGATTCAAGTTGACAGTTTCTCAGATTAGAAAATGAACGGCTATAATCTGTCCAAAATAATTCTTATGGATGTTACTAACATGAAGCTACATGTACTTATTTTTGTGTAGATATAACGAAGACAAAACGACGAGTTTGGGGAAACTTTTTGAACATGTGGCGTAAACGTGCCGTAAACGTGATTCTAAAGCTATGTGCATACAGTAACGGATGGCTTTTCATGATGCCCCTAAAAGCTCGCCGGTATAGATCGTTTTCACTGTCACGCAACGAAAAAAATAAATTGGAAACCGTCCAGTGGAAGACGTTAAGAAAATGAAATGTTATAAAAGACTAATATATAAACAATTTTTCCAAGTTTCAGGTCTTTGTGGCCCACAGTTTCTGAGTTATTTCCCGAAACGTTTCACGCAACTTTGTAGAGCTTTGTATGGAGACGCCATATTGGTGCACAGTTTTTGTGCACCAATATGGCCGCTGGAAATCAACAAAAACATCTGGAGTTCACTTTTTCTATAAAAGCTCTTTCTTTTCACTCAAGAACTAGCATACGTGCGCATAAACATTATCTTCTAATACTTAAAATGGCTATACTGCTGAAATTAAGAGGAGAGGCTTTTTCTCAACTAGACAGCATTCCTATTCTGATGTCCCGCACTGTGAAAACTCGGAAGTTCAAATTGCTATATTTTCGAAATGAAGCATGCTACGGGAATGGAAACTTGTACAAAGGTTTACTTTTTGTTTATCTTCAACCTAGTGTAAATAAGAACTCGTAAAACCTCGCTATTTTGACTTTACAATTTGATGACGTCACTGTGAAAACCGCCTATAGTATGAACACCGATCCGATATGTGGCTCACCACTTTAAAGGTCGGAGCGGCGCATGCTTCGCTCCGTCACAGAAATCGCGCCAAAATCACCATTTTTGTGTATGGACAGAAGCCCTATCATATCCGGTATGATTTTCGCGGCGGCGCAAAAGCTATCCAGTATGATGTAAACATGGCCTAAATCGTTCTATTGTTTGTCATTCAGCTGAAGGGTTAACCCAGCTCGACGCGAGTGGTTCGTTCATGATCACGTGATAGATATTGGTAACAGCGCCAAAAGAATTTAACTACCAGTTAGAAAAATTGTGATTGATTAACTCTATGTAGTTATATAGTCAATGTCAATTGTAAGTTACATTCGTCTCGTCCCTTTTTTGTTTGTTTGTTTTTTTCAATTTTGTTCAATTCCTTAGTACATAATAATGTACCGCTTTGTAACTTTAACAGTGTGATTTAAATAAAACAATTATTAAAAAAAAAAAAAACAGCGCCAAAAGAGTGTAAGTGGCGCGCAGCATTGCAAAAACTGCTACGTCAATTGTTAACGTTATAATTTCACCCGCCATTTCTGTTTGCATAAACAGAACTTTGATTTTATCTACGGTGATTTGGCCTATTAACTTTTAGGAGCAAGCCATTTCTTAGTCACAACTCGTTTTCTATTTGGCTGCTCTCAAGAGACAACTCTGATCATTTCTTTCATTCCATGATCGCCAAAACGTAGCTCAACAATGCTGGATTCGTATGCACAGCTCTTCCAACATTGTTGGGACCACGCACGCGCATTACACATGGTCTCCTTGGAATTTGTTTTATCCTTCCCACCATGCACTTCATGTCCCAACAATGTTAGAAGTTGTTGCGTCCATTTTGCACGTAGCTTTAGATTAAGGCTGTTGCCATTCATAAACAAGTGTTTTTTTTTTCTTTTTCTTGTTTGTTTACTTGTGTTTTTGCTATTTTCTCCGTAAGGTACATTTTTCCAATATTCACCCTTTGCTGGACTGAGCTTTTTGGCTTGAAAACACGTGTACCGTGCGAAACCGAGGCTTATGTCCTTGCGAACTACGGAAAAGATTGGCATATGCCAATCAAGGAATGGAACTGGAAAGAAAGCCCGCCTAATGTGCGAGAAAACGGCCAATGGGACGAAAAGGACTGGGGCGAAGTTATACA